ATGAGACCTTTTCGCCAGTAGCTATGCTTAAGTCCATTCGGATTCTCTTGGCTGTAGCCGCTCATATGGACTATGAGGTCTGGCAGATGGATGTCAAGACAGCTTTCCTTAATGGGAACCTGCAGGAAGACATCTATATGCAGCAACCAGAGGGATTCATTGCTGAAGGTCGTGAGCATCTAGTGTGTAAGCTTAATCGGTCTATTTATGGACTGAAGCAAGCTTCGAGATCTTGGAACATCCGTTTTGATGAGGTGATCCAGTCGTACGGGTTCACTCAATGTCCGGATGAGCACTGTGTTTACAAGAAAATCAGTGGGAGCGTGGTGGTGTTTCTTGTGCTTTACGTAGATGACATACTGCTTATTGGAAACAGTAAGAAGGAGTTGTCAGACGTAAAGGTGTGGTTATCTAAGCAGTTTGATATGAAGGACTTAGGTGAATCAGGACACATTCTTGGTATTAGGCTCATTAGAGACCGTAAGAAGAGAATATTGTGCTTATCCCAGTCTTCATACATAGATACTGTCTTAGCCAGATTTAGCATGCAGGATTCCAAGAAAGGTATGTTACCTTTCAGACATGGAATACCTCTATCTAAGGAGATGTCTCCTAAGACGTCTAAGGAGATAGAGGAGATGAAGACAGTTCCTTATGCTTCGGCAGTAGGAAGTCTCATGTATGCAATGCTATGCACAAGGCCGGATATTAGCTACGCCGTTGGCATGGTGGCTAAATATCAAAGTAATCCGGGACGGGAACATTGGTCTGCGGTGAAGCATATACTCAAGTACCTGAGAAGGACTAAGGAGTACATGTTAGTTTACCGTGCAGGCACCTTGTTACCTCTGGGTTACAGTGATTCCGATTTCCAGTCAGATAAGGATGAAAGTAAGTCAACCTCAGGTTATGTGTTTACCTTGGGAAGTGGAGCCATTTCATGGAGGAGTGCTAAGCAGAAATGCGTGGCAGACTCCACCATGGAAGCCGAGTACATAGCAGCCTCAGAGGCAGCGAAAGAGGCAGTTTGGCTCAGGAACTTCTTAGTGGACTTAGAGGTTATACCGAGTTTGCCACGTGGTATCACCGTGTACTGTGATAACAGTGGAGCAGTAGCGAACTCAAAAGAACCTCGAGCCCACAGGGCAAGCAAACACATAGAGCGCAAATACCATCTGATTCGGGATATCGTTGGTAGAGGAGACGTTGATGTTGCCAAGATTGCGTCAGAGGACAACCTAGCGGATCCTTTCACGAAGAGTTTGCCAGGGAAGGTCTTCGTCAAACACGTGGAAGGAATGGGAGTCATGAGCATGGCAATAGGATCGACATAGGTCTTTTAGAATAACGGATTGATAGGACTATACTGTAAAAGCGAAAGCTTTAAGTATAAGTGGGAGATTGTTAATGTTATATACTGAAAGCTTGGCTTTGCATGTTATTACACATTTACCCTTTATGAATGAGATCATGTTAGATTAAACAAGTTCTACGTTCTGTTGTTCTGCACTTAGATAGGGTGGGTCGTCATCGGGCGAACCGAAGATCACTCTATCAGTCACTTGCGAACAAAAATAGTTGTTCACAACCTAGATGGACATGAACACCCCATCCGAACGGTTGTAGTGTCAACTGTACAGTTTGTCTTGACTGATTAGTTGCACTAGTACATTTATGTATTGAACAGGATCCCAGAGAGGAGAAGTTCATTTTATACTGATCGTCGTAAATGAACTAGGCCTCGGTTAATTACTGCGTTCTCTTAACCCGTAAGATATTAAACAGGCAGATATATATAATATATATTACTTTGATTCACATGGGTGAGGTTCAGTTCGCTGGATTAATATTCCTACTGTTTTGGGTAATATTATTATATATAGGATGTGCTGTTAGGATATTTACGGTCACCATGTGCGTTAGTTTGATGATGTCCCCGGAGTGAGTTCATGAAGGATTGTTATGCTAAACCCTGCAGGTGGATTAAATTCCGGCATAATAAGAATGTGATGAACGAGCGCTAGCTTCGGTGAAATAATAATAAATTAATTAATTCTTGATTGTCAGTAATCGAATTAATTAATGGACATTATATCTTAAACGTGGGGAGGTAAATCGAGTAATTATTATTGGAGTCTCAAATGTAATTTGGGCTAGGGAAAGGGAGTGCAATAATATAATGTTGGTGGCCCATTAATATTATTTAATTAATTAGAGGAGTGGGTTTGGCCCACAGTTAGTCTAATTAATTAAGGAGCCCTTTTCCTAATCTCCTTAGGGTCCCTACTGTAGCTCTATATATACATCATTAAGCTCATGAGAAGAGAATAGAAGTCTCATTCTCACGTGAAACACGCCTCTCTCTCTAGATCTCATTCGAGCTTTATCTTCTTCTTGTTGCTCCACTGGTACAAGTTGAAGAAGGGTGTATTGAGTAATACAGTAGAAGATCTGTAGGTAAACCGAGACGAAATATATTTTGACCTACAGAACTAACCGGAAGTCCGATTGAGACTTATAGTATACCCAGACGACCGTCTCGACGAGAGTTTTCCGTCGCCGCCGAGATTGCCGGACGCGCCCTCACGCGCCGCCGGAAGCTCCCAGGCTGAAAATTTCGTTTTGATCTGTTTGCATCCGTTTGATCCAGTTTTGATCTGATCTTGTTCGTGCAACCCAAGACGCGTGTTGCGGTCAATCAATTGCGGTCAACCGTTCGTGGTCAACCAGATCTACATAAATTTTAAGCCGTAAGTTCTCTACGTCAAACCTTTAGATCCGCTGCGCATAGGTTTACGTTTGCTATTGAATTCGTGATTTGTACATAACGATCCTCACAGATCCCAACAACTCGCTGCTGACCAACGACGACGGTAGAATCAGTTCGGTCGGCCGCCGGCGATCAACAGCGCGGCGACGATTACCAGATTCCACCCCGCAAATACAATATGTGTGTGTGTGTGTATGTGATGATGATGATGAGAGAAAAAAGTGAGCACGCAGATGTGTGTGTTGGGAGGAGAGAGGGAGAGAATCTATGTAAGTGGGTGGTTATAGAGAGAGAGAGAATCGAGGTGAGTCATGAGTGGGTGGTGAAAGAGATAACCGAGGTGAGTCAGTGTTGGAATGGGATGTGTGGGGTGGGACCCACTGATGTGCTTGGTTGAAAAAATGTCTAAATTACCCTTAGTAAGTGTAAAAAATTGGTTTTATTTGTGTTGTTGGATGATCGGATCGAATGACTATGATTTATTCTTATTTCTTTCACTGAGCACCATTCTCACCGGAGCGTGACCCTATATATATATAGATGTGGTTTCATTTTAAAAATAATAAATAAATTATGTAATCAATGTATGAAAATACGCATGCAATAAACTCTCTAAGAGTTTATAGTTGACTGTCCTGAGCCAGTGTAAATGAGGATGGTTGCGTTATGTTGACGGCCAACATAAAACTTTGCCACTCTCGTGATTATGGATCACATAAGAAATCGTGCAAATGTTAGAACGCCACCCGTTGAGTGGCGCGCCGCAAGATCCGACTGCGTCATCTTGGTAGGCAGGGACGGATCTAGAAAATTTAATTAGGGGGGAGGGGGGGGACCAAATAATTTTCAATAATGACATACATCATTAAAGAGAGAAAGTTTCATTCCTAGAATAGAAAACAAAAAGTTTAAGAAAATACATACCGTTCAAACTTTGTGACTATTAGAATTGTGTTCGACGTTCTCTCAAGTCATGAAACCCATCGATGATTGACTCGGTAGTAATAGATCTTGCAATTTCCCTTTCAACAAAGATAGTCAAAGAATTTACAAGAAAGTCATCTTCCATTTTATTTCGAAGTTTGGATTTAATGATAGCCATAGCCGAAAATGCACGCTCTGCGGTCGCCGTAGACACATGAAGAGTAAGAATCTACCTTATTAATCTATCAATCAACGGATATATCAAGGATTTTCTACTTTTCGCCATGCATTGGCACAAATCAGAGATAGTACACAGATTTTGAAATTCTGAATGCTTGAGAACATCAATCTCATAATGTCGCAATTGAACTTGCAGAAAATCTTTTTCATAATCCGCTAAGTCTTTGGGATAAAATTCATTGACAAGACGGCAAGCGTCGTCTATATCAAAAGACAATCGAGAATTGCGAGGATCAAACATAGAGCTAAGAACAAGTAGGTTCACGGCATGCTCACGAAATATGTTGTTTAGCTCTTGCAGTTGACAATCTATCACAACCGTAAATATATTAATATGGTAATGATCACCGATCGTAAATAGATTTTGCTTGCCTGTGCGAACTGAACTGCGAAAGAAAGAAAAGTGGAAAACTCAATACTGTCTGATTAAATATTAATAAAGATAAAATATAATATTATAATACATAAAAAGTTGAAAGTTGGGTTGGGTTGTTTTAAATATATTCATGGGCCTTGGTCTAGGCCCACCTAATCAAATACAATATATTTTAGTTAATGGGTTAGGGGGGCAAAATCAAATAAATATACTTAAACCATTGGTACATGTCCGTCCGCCTCTATTGGTAGGGACCATTACATCTCCATGGGAACTTGGGTGTAGTGTCAAGTGTGCAAGATGCCTCATATATCAAAAATGAATTACAAGCCACGTCTTGGCAAGGACCGCTACACTCTCATGAGAACGTGAGAGTAACGGGAATTAGTGAAAAGACCCAACACTTAAAGGAGAAATATAAGAGTACAACTTGTAGAATAGGTAGTTCGAATATAGTGACTTTAACAAGCAAATCTTTGGAGGTAGTGGAGTGTTCAATAACCGCTTAGTCGGACTAGTTCAATGAATTGACCCTTAAATGTAGTCGGGCCGATTCTGGGTCCAACTTGTGAGGCCCGACGACCCGCCGAACTGGGCCAGATCCTGAACCGGCCCGCATGGTTGCCATGTCTATTATCCCAATCTTTTTCCCCTCTCTCCAAAATATATATAATAATAATAAAAAAAAAAAAAATTGGGAGATTTTCTTTCAAGAGCAAAAGGTTCCTGCCAAAAAAAATAGATACTTCCAAGTTTCAATTGCCAACCCTTTGCTTTACACTTCACAACACCGTCATCAATGGCGACACACTTCACAATTAACCGCATACTTTTGTTTGCAGTTGTCTTCGGTAGCTCCTTTTCTCTTGAGTAAGAGACCCCATGAAATCTTCCTCTTGTTTTTTTGCTTTCATTCGAATTGAAACATTATGGTACTTGCAATTGGTTAATTTCCAAATCATTTTAGGTATATAGTTTCTATTTTTATGATAATATCTAAGAAATGTTCCAGGTGTTTGTTTATTGAAATTCGTATATGTTTTTCTTGTATCATTTATCTTTATTTTAGCTTATTGATCATCCTATNGAAAAAAAAAAAAAAGACGAAGACTGGGTTTCAATTTGTCGGCTACAAATACACATTCGTTATTAAGTGATGATGATTGCAGTAAAGGGGCTAAGCTTCTTCCTTGCAAGGGTGTCATTATGAATATTCATATTTTTTAAGCGTTTATTATGACTGGCAATGGTAAGTTGAAATTTACATCTTCATGGATTTAGATATTTGTGGATACTGTGTCATGGTTAACTCGTTAGGTTTAGACTCATATGAGGCTATATAATTATTGGTCTTTACTGGACAAAATATCAGCGCAGTTCAGGTGTTGCTCATATGATGGAATTATAACTCTGCAAACTGCATTAGGCATTAAGAATTTCTTAAACTATTGCTTCCAACAAGAAGAAAGAGCAAGCATCCAAAAGTAATGTAATGTATTGCATTCATAATTTCAGTACCCCGAAAGAGTTGAGAACTAAAGAGACAAACCAAGATGGGCATATTCGACTTGGCTATCAAATACAGCGTAAAAGTCTTGATCCTTCACGAGTTGCTCGACTCTCATGGCAACCAAGGTCAGGTAATCCAAGAACCAACAATTTTCTCATAATTACAAATATACCCTTGAGATTTGATCTCCCCCCACCCCCCTCCCACCAACATAAAGAATGAAAGAAAAGAAAAGGTAAAAGCGAAAGACCAAAGTGTAAAAATGGCTATATTTCAAATATTTCTATTATACAAATTCACCTTATAGTCAAGAAGATGCAAACTTCAAGAGAGTGCTCGTAATAATATGGTGAGATTTTCTTAAAAGAGAGACAGATTAAGCCTTAGGGGTAGTTGTAGTGATTAATCCTATGCTATAGTGAAGACTGATGTCAGTGAAGCATACACCTCAGTTATGCAATGATGTGTAATATTGTCTTCTTGGTTGCATATATCTGGACATTGAAACAACATATTATGAATTTTTAGTTACAGTGATATTTAAATTACAATAGACATAATGACATTATATTTGGGGGACAGGGTATTCTTGTATAGGGACTTTCTATCTGAGGAGGAGTGTGATCATCTGGTTTCTTGGGTAAATCTTCTGTTTTATAAACTTCTATTGCTCGTTTTACTTTTGCTTTTATCTTTATTTTTGAAATTATGTGTCGATTTAGGTCGATGGAAAGAGAAGCTATTCTGCGTCTGGTGTTGATTCTCAAAAGTTCGGTATTTCCATGGACATTGATGTAAGTTTCTCATTTTCTGAGACTGGTCTATGTAAGAATTAGGGTATGGTGGCTATGAGATGCTATGTTGTACAGTAGTGTCTGTTCTTCTGGAAAATCTTTTACATATAAAAACGTGATTTATTTTTGTTCATGCAAAAAGTAGCTGACAACTAGAACTCCTAACAAATGTTAAAAGTAGAATAAGTTTATGGAAGTGCATGTGGAATAAGTTGTTGTAAGTGTGTGTTTATCATTGTAGAAATCAGAACATAAGCAGAACAAAAAATCTAAAGTACCACTACCGCTGCTTATAGAGTGTAAGTTATACCAGATTAAAAGCAGAAGCAAACATTTCAAAATATATTAAAAAAAAAAAAAAAAAAAAAAAAAAAGAAGAAAGAATTTTTCTTTTTCTTCACCTTCAGCTTTCCAACAAACACTTTTTAAGTGTTTGTAAGCACATGGTTAGAAATTAATGCTTTCACGTGGATGCGCGGAACTTCTCTTTGGGAATTAATTATACTAAAATTGATGCGCAGAACTTCTCTTGTCATTGATACTCTTGTACTGGATTCTTTGGCTACAGAAAGTTGTAATATTGAGCTGTGCTCTTGTTATTTTAATCTAAAAGTTAAATTGTAATCTGTTTGGTCCACAGGATGAAATTACTAAAGTAATCGAGGAAAGAATTTCTGCTTGGACTTTTCTCCCCAAAGGTATGTATACATATTCTGCCACACAAATCTACCTTCCACATTAAAAGCTTCATTTATGAATCCATTTTTATCGTTCTTATGATTACGTAATTTGTTATTTGGCAGAGAACAGCAAACCGTTGTCTGTTTTAAATTTCAGCCACGAGGACTCCCAACAGAAATATAGTTATTTTGGCAACAAAGACGAAGAGCAAGTCGACCAACCTTTATTAGCAACCGTTGTTTTGTATCTCTCAAATGTCAGTCAGGGTGGGCAGATTCTTTTCCCCGAGTCAGAGGTAAAAGAGCATCCAAAATTGTTAACACGATAGCTTTTTAGTATTAATTTATCTTTAAAATTGTCCATACCCCCCTAAGGCCTTTATTTACTTTGAAAAATACTGGCATTTGTAAATTCGAAAGACTGTAGCGTTTTTGTGGCAAGATTGCGAGTAATCTTGTACTTTCAAAATCTCAATTTTGGTCCTCTTTCACTAGAAGTAGCTACATGGCAGTTATGCTGTTTTTCCATTTCTTCGCAACCTAACTGAATCTCGAGGGCATTTTTGTAATTAACCTTTTCAATGCTGCATACATTCGTGAAACTATTACATCATCATCTGAAAACTGACTGCAGGACAGAATGTGGTCCGACTGCACACAGAAGAACGACATCCTAAAGCCTAGTAAAGGGAATGCGATTGTGTTCTTCAACCTACACCTTAATGCGGGCCCTGATCAGACAAGTTCCCATGCTAGATGCCCTGTTCTTCAGGGTGATATGTGGTGTGCCACTAAATTCTTCTATATGAAACAAGTAAATGCTGGAAAGGATTTGGCACGATCGGACGATGCAGATTGCACGGATGAAGATGACAACTGCCCTCAGTGGGCTGCCATTGGTGAGTGCCAGAGGAACTCAGTCTTCATGATTGGTTCGCCTGATTATTACGGGACGTGTAGGAAGAGTTGCGACGCGTGCTAATGGCCGATGGCTTAGGTTTGTGTCATGTGTATTATCCTTCTATAACTTTTGGCTTGGCTTTATCTTGATGAAAAAGAAGTATAAATGTTTTTGGTTGTGAGTTGAGGATATTGGTGAATTAATAATGCTATATCTGTGCTGTGATAGAATGACAAAAATTTCCCATATTGCGTGCTAGAGATTTTGAATTTTTTCTTTTCTTTTCTTTTCTTTTCTTTTTTCATGATTGCTTACTATAAATTATAAAAAATGCAGTCTTCACTATTGATATAGGTACAAATATAGCTAGATGTGGACCACTCAATCTAGTTAATTCAGTCGGGTCACCAAGCCGACCGGGTCGTGATCACTCGACCCAAGTACCGAGCCAAATGACCCAAAACCCAAAACTTGACACGAATATGTACAAAGTGCTAAAATCTATCCGAATGTGTACTAAATGCTAAAGTCTACCCGAATGTGTGCTAAGTGATAAAGATGACCCAAATGTGTGCTAAGTGATAAAGTCTACCGGAGTGTGTGCTAAGTACAAGAGTTGACTCAAACTTGTGCTAAGTACCAAAGTCGACCTATATTTGTGTTAAGTACGGAAGTTAGACCCGAATTGTACTAAGTGACCCAATGGTAAACTCGACCTAAAATTACCTAAAGCATGACCCAAGTATGCTCAATGACCCATGTGCTAAATGACCTAAAGGTGATAAAAACTGCCTAAAACGACCCGAATGACTTAAATAAGTGAACTTAAACGACCCGAAGCTCTAATATGCAACCCACATGAAGAACTAAATGACCTAAAGGTGCTAAAATTACCTACAACGGCCTGAAGAACTTAAAGGGCAACTAAACGACCCAAACACTTGGTGTTGATTGGAGACCTAAAACGACCTGAATGACCTAGAGGGCAATTAAACGACCCAAACACTTAGGTGTTGATTAGAGACCTGAAATGACCCGATGGCCGAAGTAAGGCTTTAAAAGGTACCTTGACCTTGATTCAGAAGACCAGAAATATATAATCAATGTGAACGCATCAAGATAATCCTAGTCATCAAGATAAGAACGAATCTCATACAACTTATCTGGGCAGCCAACGGTCCCTTCTGGGCAGCCCGTCAGGTTAACCTGTTGTACTTTCGAGCAGCCTTTTCTTAGGCACCAAGACAACATTTAGTGCAAGATCATTACTATAAATAGAGGTAAAAGGTATGATGAAGGTCTTCTTCCGTTCCCTAACTCTTAATATATGAATTATCTTTTAGCCTCGATTTCCGTCTTTCAGATCTCTCACTAACTTGATTGTCAGAGTGTTAATGTCTGGAGAACCTTCCGATCTCTTTTGCAGGTCACATGCTCCGCCGTGGATAGCATCTCAGGTGATCAGATCACTTGACCCAACCGGATTTTTTAGAGGTCCAACCTGCTTGAACCGGAGTTATTTGGTGGACCACCATCAACTATCTTTCCCTTTGTCACAGTTATCAATCTATAATCATTTTTAATGGAATAGAAAAGGGACATGTGGGATCATTCTTATTTTTTTCACACTTATTTTTTTTTTTATTTATAAATACCAAACATCAAATTGAATAGAATAACATTTCAATGTACAAAGGAATAACCAACAGATTACACGAAAGAAAAGGAATAGCTCAAAAAGAGCTCCCCTACATGGCCAACCCCATCAAAGAACAAAACCAAACCAAAGCCTAAGAAACAGGAAGAAAGGAAACAGAAACAAACACAGAAGCAAGAGAAAAAATGTCAGTAGCTACCACAACAATAGTACAATCAAAGACACCTCTGTTTTTTAAATGCTTCCTTAGGCTTTCACTCCTAACAAAGATATCAACATTTTTCCATCCTTGTTTCTCTCCAAGCAACGACCATTCCTTGGTTTGAAGCAGCGGGGATTCCCCAAGGATGATTTCTCTGTGAATCTGCATGAACTGAGAACATAGCCAACTCCTCTCCATCATAAAAAGCTACACATTTCAGGCTCCAACTTGTTGGTTCCAAGAAAATTCCTAACCTTTGGCTTTATAGGTAGATGCCAAGTCTTCTTCTAGAGATGTTCAATTTTCTTTCCTCTGTCTCTGTTGGATCCCTCATTTCCCATCTTCACTTTGTTGTGCTGTTGGATCACCTTTAAGCTTGTCAAATTATAAGCTTCTTTTGACAGAGAAAATTCCTTTCCTGTCAGATTGCCAGATCAGCTTGTCCTTGGGGCTCCTTTGACTTATATGAATTTTCAGGATGTTGGCAGCATCAGTGGGGTTAAAAGTTTTCAATATCAATTCAGTGTCCCATATTTTGCCACCTGCCAACATTAGGTCAGAGGCTTTCCTCAAGTGTATCTTATCACCTGCAAAGCGACAAACATGTTTGAAGTTTGTGTTGTTTGGAATCCAGGGTGAGTCCCACACATTGAAAGATAGCCCATTACCAACCTGAAACCTAATTCCAAAATCTATGGACTTTATAGCTTCAAGCCTACAATTCTACATCTAAAAATCACCATCTTTTTTGCTAATTTTCATGAACTTCTGCCTAAAAAAATATCTACCTCTCACTACCATGCTCATTAAAGAATTGGGCTTTGTTAACAACCTCCAAATTTGCTTAAGAATTATGGCTTCATTCAAGTCACCTAAGTCCCTAAAACCTAAACCCCTTTCCCACTTATGCTTGGCTAAACTACTCTAGAGAGCCCAATGTTTCTACCCTCCTCAGTTCTACCCACCAGAAAGCAACTAACTCCTTAAATATCCTGACAAACCCCACAGATATCCTAAACACTGACATATCATAAACAGGGAGAGCACTCAAGACAGTTGTGATTAAAATTTCTTTTTCTGCCTGACTAAGAACTTATTTTTCCAGCTTGTAACTCTTGAGATCACACACTCTTTAACAAACGCAAAGGTATATTTTTTGTTTCTTCAAACTCCCATAGGAAGCCCCAGATAGTTAGGGCATGCTTGTTTACCAATTATTTTGCTCACATTTATTTCATACTCAAAATCTAATTCAACTTTAACTCAACCTCACTATCTTTAATATTACTCATATTATTAAATAATACAAACCAATTATTCTTACACATCACATCAACCTTAATTTACTATTCATCCACTCATATAATTTTAACTACCTATCATTTCCAATCATTTATCTCCTACTTTTACATCAAATCAATTTTAATCATTTTATTTTAAATATTATTTTAGTATATTCATAAATTCCACTAACAACTAACCATATACATTTTCCAAAATTAACTATGGTTAACAAAAAAAACTCATTTTGAACGGATCATTTGATAAACAAGCGAGCTCCTAGAGTTTTTGGCAATTACATTACCATGGAGAATTTGACAAATATCAGCTTTGACATGATCATGGGTAATAGCTGAAAAGAAAACATTTGATTTATGCATGTTCACTGCTTCACCAGACACATAACATTAAATATTTAGGATATTGAGCAGGGTTGAAGCATGAAAAGAATCAGTCTGACAGAAGATCAAAGCATCATCAACAAAGAAAATATGACAGATACTAGAAGAGTTCTTACTGATCTTAATACCCTAGAAGCTAGAAGATAAACATGCATTATGAATCAAATTAGAAAGAGCTTCTGTTACTAAGATAAATAAGCAGTAGGGGGATAGTGGATCCCCCTATCTCAAACCCCTAGAAGGAATAAGATTTCCCAAAGCTGACCCCCTAATGTTGAAAGAAAAATGAGGTTGAACTTATCCAAACCCAAATCCAAGCCAGAAAAGTTTCACAAAAGCCCATCTTTCTATAGATTCTGATAAGAAAAGACCATTCTATTCTATCAAAGGCTTTAGCCATGTCAATTTTACGAGCCATAAAACTTTTTTTGCCTCTTTGTTTACTGTTTAGAAAGTAAATGCATTCATTGGTTGACCATCCAATCTTGTTTGACATGTACTGCACCATATATTTTATATATTATGCCAATCTCCAGNGAAAAAAAAAAAAAAAAAAAAAAAATTATTGTCAAACTGATATATGGAAGCGTACGACTGGGGATAAAGAGAAGAGATCTCAGTCTCAAATACATGTTTTCTTATTCAAATATCAACTGTAGAGAACAAAAGAGGGAGAGTTCTTTATATAAGACTCCTACATCCTAATAATAACTTGCTCACTAAGACTAAACATAAATACCAAACAAATATTAAATGCTAATAATAATAATAGATACTAATTAAACTACCAAATATTCTAATAGCAAGAATAATAGGTACTATTTTACATCATTCTCCCCCGGTTGAGCAGGATTCACCCTTGAATCCGACCCGATCGCTTTGACAGGGTGTGGAGTCGTACCCATGGCAGCAATCGTCCGTTGTTTTCCTCTATCGGGTACGAAGGTTGAATGCTGCCCAACCATTTCAGCAGTCCTCTTAGATGCCATCCCAGAACAGGCAACATTTGATCATGTCTTTCATTAGGTAATCAACAATGCACATATCCAAAATTGGTGCAATGTTATGAATCGAGCTTGTGTAGTGAAGAAATCCCTCTTCAATTTTGAAGACCATTCCATTAGCCATGTCAACGATGGCTACCACAAAACCACCATCAAACCACAACAGAGCATTGGATGGTAGGCCTTTACAAAGACAATCTGATTAACTCTGAGCCCATCACACTCAAAAATCACTTTAATAGAAAACAACTCTCCAAAGTCAATACTAAAACTATCCTAGGATCGTGTTCAGAACTAGGCTCCCAACCCCAAGAGCATAAATGATTGCGACTATGTTGCATGCTACCATAATCATTAATATTCATTGGATCATTAAGAAAAGGCACAGATATAAAAGAATATATATTGCATGTCTAGTGTTACCCAAAAATTGAAAATTGAAAATTGAAAGCAGACCTATACCCATTCATGCCTAAAGAAACAACAAAGTTTAAGCAGAAGCAATAAAGACACTCCCTTTCATTAACTTGTTAGACCCTCACGTAACTGATAAAGAAAGTAAAAATAAGTGTTGAAAATAAACACATCAATGAAGCAAGAATGAACTAATTAATAAACACACACATATAAATATATATATATATATATATATATGCACACACACATATATGTATAATCTAGCTAACACATTAAATTTGAAGATCATTAAGAAAAGTAGTCAATCAATACAAAAAAATGATTTGCACAATAAGCAGAAATAGACATCTTATAGACATATTAAACTGCAATTCGGTTATGGAACAGACATAGTTAACAACTAATAAACATATTTTAATTTGGATGGCAACAAATGAACAATGTAAATTCGATGACAACATATTTACATAGCATTAAGAAAAGTAATAAGTTCATAGAAAACATATTAATTTGCACAATAAGACTCATGAACATCTTTCAAAACATATTAAACAACAATCTGCAGCTAAATAAATATAGTTTATAAAATGAGTCCAAGTGAAAAACCCTCAACTGAATGTGGGCAAATAAACAATGTCCTGTTCACTTATACCATGACAATGACAGGTCAAACTCCTATGCACACCAAAAAAAAAAAACAAAAAATTAACAGGAATATCCATATACTTATGAATGAACAAACTATGTCTCGGATATAAAATCACATAAATAATGTAGGATGTTATGTAGCATACAAGCCATGAAACAGTTGCTTAAGAAGCTTATATTAATTTGCATTTAAAGCAGCATGCAATGGGTAAAAAAAGGCATATATGTTGAAAAAATTATATATTGTATGTATATCCTCTTCCAATCTTTTGGATTGTCTTGACCGAAAGTGTCACAACTCACATAAGCATCTTGTAAAACTTAGTAAACAACAATTTGCTGATGAATAAATGTAGTTCATAATTTGACTCCTACGAACAGCACTCCAACTCAACTCAATGAAGGCAAACAAACAATGGCTTGTNAATATTTTTTGATTTCATATTCTAATATTTTTAAAAAACGAAAAAGAAAGCGAAATATTTTTTGGAAACGATTTTTCTTTTTGGTTCTTTCATTTTTCAAATTTTTTTTGGGTTTTTCCATTTTTCAATTTTTTTTGGATTTTTCAAAATAAAAAAGAAAAACAAATCTCAGTTAACTAATATAAATAGAATTCCCATTGACGCACTGAACCCCTATCTGAAGCAGACGACACAAAACCTGAGTAGCTCCCTCAAACTGCTCATTATCAGAAGGCCTATCAATATATATACTATCCGACGAGGGACTGAATAACCGAAAACCCACATACCAACACAAAGACGAAGACGCCCAAAATTTCTTTTCAACCTTGAACCTATATTTACTCGAATTCCAAGGAGGACGAAGACGACAACTCCTATTACGATTACCACTCGAACCAACAACCAAACTCTCCATTCTAACACAACTCAGTTTATCAAAAAACACAAGAAAACGAAAACGAGAAACAAACTGCAGAGAGAACTTACCGGAACACGACGAACTAGAGGATGTTTCCGTATGTTTTGTTGTTGACATTCTTGGACTATTTATATATATATATATATATATATATATATATATATATATATATATATATATATATATCTCCTTTACATATAAGGAAAAAGAATATGTGTTCTGCATTTACTTCTTGCCCGTAATTACACACCTACCACTTTACATAATGCATAGCGGGTGAAAGTACGTTTCTGCCCTTGTATACGGCGGTGGTATTGGGAAGCACCTGACCATATCTTTTCAGCTGAGAGAGACAGACCATATCTTTTCAGCTCAGAGAGACAGAGATTTGGTAAGGTTATGTCTAGATCGTAGGATTTTATGGATTGAATCCCTATCGTTCGTTCGTTCGTCTAACTCTTAAATAATCTCTGTCTCTCTGTCCGAACGAACGGTAGGGATCCAATCCCTAAAATCCTACTATACAAACAACGTTACCAAATCTCTGTCTCTCTCAGAAGAAAAGATATGGTCAGGTGCTTCCAAGGTCAAGTGCTTCCTAATACCACCGCCGTATAGAAGGGCAGAAACGTACTTTCACCCGCTATGGCAGGTGTGTAATTACGGCAAAAAAGTAAAGGCAGAACATTTATTCTTTTTCCTTATATGTAAAGGAGATATATATATATATATATATATATATATATATAAATAGTCCAAGAATGTCAACAACAAAACATACGCAAACATCCTATAGTTCGTTGTGCGCCTAAAATTTTCGGTAAGTTCTCTCTGCAGTTTGTTTCTTGTTTTCGTTTTCTCGTGTTTTTTGATAAACTGAGTTGTGTTAGAATAGGAAGTTTGGTTGTTGGTTCGGGTGTTAATCATAATAGAAGTTGTCGTCTTCATCGTCCTTGGAATTCGGGTAAATATAGGTTCAGGTTGAAAAGAAATTTTGGGTTGGGCCTTCGTCTTCGTGTCTTTGTGTTAGGTCTGTGGGTTTTCGGTTATCCAGTCCCTCGTTGGATAGTAGTGTATATATTGATAGGCCTTCTTTTGAGGGAGCTACTCAGGTATTGTGTCGTCTGCTTTAGGGTTCAGTGCGCCAATTGGAATTCTATTTCTACTAGTTAACTAGGATTTTTTTTCTTTTTTTTTTCTTTTTTGAAAAATGAAAAAACGAAAAAAAAATAGAAAATTTGAAAAATCCAAAAAAAAAAAAAATTGAAAAATGGAAAAACCCAAAAAAAATTGAAAAATGAAAAACCCAAACAAAATTTGAAAAATGAAAAACCCAAAAATGAACTAAAAGCTTGTGTGAGTAGAATCTGAACCTGCTTATTAGAAGTTCACAAAGAATGGCCTAACATATCGAAATACCTACCGCCGGGTTTAGAGTGCGAGCTACTGACTGGGTTACATCTGACAAGTGGTCTAGAGGCCTTTGGCAGAAAAAGCTAGCGGGCCCGAATGAGGGAAAGCAAGCCCATGAGTTGAGCTATCATTGAATAATATTAATAAAAAATTACTGTGAGGCAAAAAAGCTAACACCAGAGGGTTAAAACGAGTGCAGCTCTGGGGTTAAAAGATTCATGAGTTGGGGGCCTTTGACAGGAAAAGCTACCTGGCCCGAGCGCGTGAAAGCTGCCCGTGGGTGGTTTGGTCCTGTGTATGATAATTGGCGGGAGAGGAGGAAACTCTAGCGGCTAACACGGAAAGGTAAATACCATAAAACAAGTACCGTGATTTGTGGGGAAGAGATGGCTGGAATTGGATTTCCTGTCTTGATGTTTTTTGGAGTTCTTGTTGTCGAAGTCTGGTAGAGGAGCACGAAGCCTGCGCAAAACTTGTACAGAATAATGTCATGCACCACTCTGAATATGAAGAGAGAGAGAGAGGAAAAAAACTCGATTAAGGCAGAATGTCATGTACCACTCTGAAAAAAAAATCATGCACCACTCTGAATATGATTTTTTTTTTTTCTAAAAAAAAAAAAATACTGGTTGGGAGCTGGAGCCATTCTCCTGATGAGCCCAAGGCAGGGCGAAACCAGTCGACTACTCGATTAAATTGAGGAATAAAAGTGATCTGTTTAACTTTTTTTAATCTCTGTTGTAATTCTTTTACTCTGCTCCGAGTTTTGTTTGTTAATACATAAGCTAATTATGTAATTAAATTTACAATTTTCCCATATTCATGTGCCTTAATTTATAACTTGTGGAATAGAAGTGATCTATTTGCAGTATTTCAGTCCTTGTTTGTTGCGGTTGTATTGCATTTACTGTGTTCCACTTTCGTATAGTTTGTTGTGAGCTTGCCATATGCTCTCTTTTCATGTATCATAAAAGAAAAATAAAAGGGAAAAAGGAAAAAGGAAAAGAAAGAATAGAATGACTGTGGGCAAACCAGGAAAAAGGTTTGTCGCAAAATAAAAAGAGGACAAAGAGCGGAATCATTATTCTGACCATCTCACTACTTCACTTTTTGAATGTCAGCTCCAAATAAACTTGGGGGTTTGTGAAATGAAAAGCTTAAGTTGTAAAGAAAAAGAATTAATACCTTCTCTGTGAATGGGCAAAAAGATGTCCCCTTCGGTCTTCAGGTTGAGTTTCTTTAAAGCAATTGTCATGAGGGGTAATTTTGGAAGCCAACATCTGAAATCATTATATTTCCAATTAAGCCAAAACATAAACAGTAATAGAGGGAGAATAACAGATAATAAAGGTATGTTGTGTTTGTACAGAGGTAACTTGCAGTAACAAGGACCAGTTGACAGCAAGCAAAAACAGTGAGTTCAAATGGAAGTGGTCTCTGAAGGCCATTCCATACCACAAAATCTGATTCCCATACCACAAAATCTGATCACACCTAGTTGTACATGTAATAATAGTTATCCAGATCAGCACATGCCTCAAGAGTTAAAAGAGAAAACAGTATACACTGATTTAAATTGTTTCCCTTGAATATTGGTATTTTAAAATATAGGGGTGTGAGCCCACCATGCAGGAGCTCTTTTTTCTATTTCGGGTGCAAATCGTCACCGGGGTCCGGAATATCTGTCTGACTTGTCTGAGTGCATTTGTATGTTGGTGGGAGATAGAACTTCGTTTCTTTCCATCCATCAAAAACCCGGCCATGCCTCTGCTTGATCAGCAGCTGTTCACAATAAAAATGAAAGAATGAATTTTTTCTTTTAGTTTCAAACTTTAGACTTTAGAGAACCAAAAAAAAAAAAAGTTGCAATATTAGGCCAAATAGCAAGATCGCCGTACTTGGTCTTTTTTGAGTAATTGTCTCCAGTTTTGCGTTCCAGTGAGTGCTTTGGCCAACGGTAGTGCAACACTATTTGGTAATTCAAATCTCCAAGCCAAAGAATTCGACTGCACCCAAATATTTTCAACACAGGAGCATCTAGTAAGGAAACAAAGGAAAACCCCTTCCATGACTACAATAAGAATCCAAGGTGGCTTGATTCTGGGTACATTTTTCTCATTTATAAGGAAAAATATTCTTACCCATTTGTAGAAATATGAAAGCTACCCCATAGAATCGAGTGTTCGAGTTTGCCGCCGGAGATTTCTCACTACTGCTGCCATTCTCAGTATCTCGATAAAATCAGCACTCCTTCGTAGTTCGCCACCTCCCTTCTGCCCAGATGTTAAGTGACGGCACACAAAGCAAAGATTCGTCTAATGCAACTGCATGCTTATTGAAATGGATCCCTGAAAATAGAAATAACAAAAAGAAAATAAGATCTTCATTTTAGTGCTTCGTTTTGCTGTAAATAATTCCAAGGAAACCTAGGTATTTCCCACCGAAAGCTGTAGGGACCCTTAAAAGAAACTAATTCTAATCAAACATGATAGAATGACTATCCTCATTACTGAGGTAGCCCATAAGCCCTATCCCGACCCACGAGACATTTATGTTCCTCACATGCTCACGCCGGACCCAGGCTGTGAGAAAACTACCCTTTACCATCTGCTTTCTCACCACCAATTAGAAGTACCCTGAGTGCTACCGGCCCAAAACAAACACTACCCTTCCTCCCACCGCACTAGCCTTGTATCTATCTCATTGATCCATCAGCTTTCCTCTTAATATTAAAAACCACCCATTTTGACTCAATTGTCTCTTTTGTCTTTTTTCCTTCTGATAGTGTTGTTAACTCCCAGGTGTGGTTTCCTTCAAGGACTTCCAGCTCTCTTTGGATAGCCTCTACCCATGTTGGAAGTAGAACAACTGCTTGTAGTGAGTAGGCTCTTTATCAGCTGAAATGTTTGCTAGAAATTCCAACTGTGAAGATAAATTGTCCTGGCTGTTTGCTATTGTAAGGAAAAGTGTAAATAGCATACACCTTTTTGGCTAATTTCAAATCATGTCTATTTCCAGCCAGCGTGCCATCTAGAAGCTTCTTTTCTCCTACTTCCCCTCTTTAATCCCTTGTTAACCCGAACAATTCTCAGTTTGAGTATCCTCCAGTATTGTAGTCACTGTGGTGTTATCTTCAATTGCCTGTGGGATCACAACATCATCCTTGTTCATTGAGTGATATGGAAAGATCTCCTCAAAGACCACCACAAAGCATGTTTTGATCTCCAAGTCATATCGTTGACCACCACAACATCATCCTTGTTCATATTTGGATTTGTGAGGAAGCTGGATACAACTTACTAAGTCTAGCATAGGTTGGTTGCCTATCATACTCTCTCAAAAGAGTGATTTCCACTCCAAAAGAGAAGTAGGTAATCTGTTGATAATAAATGGTATAGTCAAGACTGAGTAGGCCAATGTACTTCTCAGCCTCCCACACTATCCTATCAATCTCCTCTTTTGATAGCCTCCCTTTTTCGTTGGTTATAGTGATCCCGTTCATATTGCCCGTCGACCTCTTCTTGGCGGACACATTCAGTATGCCGTCGATGTCAATTTTGAAGCAGACATCAAGCTTGGGCATTCCCCGCGGGGCAGGTGGGACCCCATCCACTCTGAACTTCCCGAGCAGGTTGTTGTCTTTTGACCTCGCCCGTTCGCCCTCGTATACCGGGAAGTCCACATATGTCTGGTTATCATTAATGTGGAGAATGTGCTCCTTCTGGGTGGACAGAGTCGTGTTCCGCGGGACTACGACTTTCATGACATCCCCGTGAGATTCTATTCCGAGGGAGAGAGTGTGAGATTCTATTCCGAGGGAGAGAGGGGTCACCGCAGCTTCAGCTCCACCATTACTCCTGAATCCTATGTCCAGGCCCAAGTACTGGTTTACCTTGTTGGGCCCTCCCATTCGTTTGATCTGACCACTGCCTGTGTCGAGGATAACACATCTTGAGATGGGAAATGCGGCCACGATTTTGCCGTTTTCACCCATCAAGCAGTTGTTTACAGACATAAGCCCTTCCATTTCCTGCAATTTTACAACAGGACATTTCAGGGATCGTGAATAACAAACAATTATGTTCGATTTCAAAAACCCCTGTGCGACTTCTTCACTGGCCCACGCCCTAACGAGCTGAAAAAACAACACACACACACACACACACTCCCTCCAGATAAAAATTTAGGAAAAAAAACATCCAACACATATACTACATGCTGGAAAATGAACAAGAAAAAAAAAAGATACAAGGTTAACATAAACTTGAAATATGTTTCATCACAATATGGTAATGATGCAGAAAATTATGACCAATTTCAACTTCTGCCATTCTTCAACCATTAACCCCAGCTGCGCTAGCACTTTTTCATAAAAGAGAAATAATTCCTCAATAATGAGAGAGAAAAAACCAAAAAAAAGTACCATTAGCACGAAATGCAGGTGAGGGCTTGGTCGTTGAAGCTTCTTAGGAACAGAATTAAACACGGGAGCTACTTCAACTTCAGATCTACCTTTTGCTCCAGACTACAAAATGCCGAGCAAATTAATCGACATACAGTAATTAACCAGACGAGCTATATGGAGTTAATGGCTTTCTTCAGTAGCAGGGGTTGACGATGACGAGTGTGGGGTGTGTGAGAGAAGATTTTTTGGTTTTCCTCTTTTTTCTTCGTGTGTGTATTTTTCTGCGCCTTTACTTTCGTTCTGTCTCTGTGCTCTGGGAAAGGCGTGAGAAAGTGGTACAAACGGAAATACGCTCTGCACGATCTCTCTATATCAGGGGNAAACTCAAAAGGTTACAATTGAAATGTCAAATGACACAATGGAATCAGAAGATTGGACCAACTCCCCTTGTTATCACACACGAGGAGGTACAAACTCCATCAAGGAGCCGAACAACCACAAAACAAAACTCCAAAATAGAAACACTAATTCCATATAAGAGAGAAAAGCAGACAAAGCTGCACTAAACAAACAAAAAACACAAGAAAAAAAACTCACACCTAATAAACAAAAATAGAATAATACCACCCCTAAGCCTAGCAACCGAATCTCATGACCGCCTAAACTACTTACTGAGTCACACCCATAACAAGAACGTCAACGATCAACAAAACTAGTCATCAAAACCGAAAATTGTGGCAACTCAACCGCCTAGACGGATTTTCAGTCCAGATCTGACTCCGAAGAACATCCACGTCGGGGGAGGAAATGTGAGCCGCCAAGAACTCGCAAGAGGGCCCTAGACAAGGATTCGAAGAAGCACCCGTAGCAACTTGAGTGGCCCGACCCGATGAACCGGCGGCCGACGAGACAGAGCATCCCGGCAGGGCGCATCAGAGCAGGCACCTTGGACAAGGAGAATAAAATAGCACAATACCGGACCTCCGACGAAATGACAGTCTCCCGTGGTTGGGGTCGAAAAAAAGACGGCCGGCGACCCCTCCGGGGCCAGGGGAAAGACCGGGAGGTGAAGCTCACCGCCGGCGATTACACTCGCCGGGACTTACTCGGAAGATACTTGTGTGTTTTCAGGAACTCCAAAAATTGGGTTTAGCCTTTTGGCCTTAAGACTTTTATAGCTTACTGTTTCTTGGTTTTTTCGAATCTTTCCAAACCTTATGAAACCTAGCAGCTATGTGAATTTGTTTTAGACTTTTTGAGGAAAGAAGATTTTTATTTATAATAGTTTTGATACAGGGCAATCAATTCTAAAATTCGGGAAGCTTTACAAACTAGGACAAACACTCTTAAATAAATAAACTAAAACGCTTGAATCATTCTAGATAAGAACATCTTTGATTTCTCATAAAAGCATTGATTGTAAACAAACAAAATAAACATGAACCACCACCCACATGTTTGTGTCCTCCATTATTTTGATGATAAGGTTGGATGGATCACCATAGGTTGGTGTCTCACCCACTTAGCTGACAGGTCACATGGCCATTCAATCTTTGGTGGGATTTACACATTTTCTTTTCTTTGGTTGGTTGTCTTCATTTTATTATTCTCCTGTTGTACAACTGCTTTTATACGTTGTTTTGTCTCTTCCGTAGCACGATTTTTATTAATTATTTCGTTTCCCATGCACGATACCAAAAGAATCCGTATCAACGGAAAAATGTCTGAGCGTCGACGACCGGTTTCCAGCGAACCGGTCAAAAACAGGTCAACTATTGGTTGAACCGATCAAAACCGGTCAGAACCAACCAAAAACAGGACCGGTTTGAACAGGTCTAGTTTTTTTTTAAATAGAATTTAATATATCTAAAAATATTATTAGTATAAATTAAAAATACATATTTAAATATGATAAATATATATAAGTTATTAGTAGTTAGTTTAAATATTTGAATATTTTAAATGAGCTTAATTTTTAATTAACAAAATTATATATTTAAATTTTATTATATAAAATAATATATATGTTTAAAAATACAGTATTAGCAAATTAAATATCGGTTCAACCATTGGTCGGACCAATGAACCATTGAACCAATAAATTTATTAGTTCGATGACCGGTCTATTTTTCAGAACCTTGGTAAATGTGTCACCAAGCTCCAACAAAGTAGAGGCAACAACATTATAAATACCTTCCACATCCAAAACGATGTAGTGCCCGAAATCCTGGGGCAAGTCGTCCTCCAGCACCAAAGGCTCACTGAAAACCGACGGTCCGTCGTAAAAGCTGATCGCGTCAACGTTGCCGATATCCTCGGCAAACAATGCACGTGACCCTGCAAGCTGCGGACAAGCGGTCTGCCGATGGCCGACCTTGTCGCAACCGAAGCAACGCAGCCCGTCGAAAGCCTGCGGAACACCTGCTGCCGCGGCCTGACCACTAGACCCGGCCCCTGCCGTGCGTTGAACACCTCTGCTAGGCACGACCGTGCGCCCAGCCCTCGGCGCTAACCCCGCCGAGACACCTGCGCCAGTCACAGCGCGCCCTAATTGCAGGTTCAAGTCGTCGACCTTGCAATGTGGCCTACAGAAATGGATTTCGCCCATGCTCTCCTCGTCTCGACGATCGTCGAGCCACTCGAAGTTGTCGTCGTCTTGCTGCACCTACCAGAAGACGGAGGGGTTGACCTTTAATCGTGTCTCTTCGTCGTTGTCCTTGTCGTGCATTGGTGGTAGTGTACGCTGACGGGACGCCCCGCCAGGCCCTCTTTTGCTACGACCTCCGCAATAACCCCTGCGACCGCCCCGACCGGCCAAGTCGCGGTTCGTTTGCTCATCCCGAACAATGGTATGGAGAGTTAGACGTATGTCCCCAATCTCCACGGACAAATCTGCAATCCGACGACCCATCATCTCAAGTCGACGGCCAAATCCCTCGTCCTAGTGGCTCAGGTTGTAGATGGCGGCGTCATGCCTGTCATCTACAACATCTTGTCTTCGCGGCAGCATCATGAATCGTGTTGACTTCTGATACCAGCTGATGTATGGAAGGGTACGATTGAGAATAAAGAGAAGATATTTCAATCTCAAATACGTGTTTTCTTATTCAAATATCAACTGGAGAGAACAAAAAAGGGCAAGTCCTTTATATAAGGTTCTTAAACCCTAATATAACATGCTTGTTGTTGTCTTGAATTAACAACTCTAAATTCAATACAGTCGATGTCAAGAAAACGAAGATAAACGTTTTATTTTATTTTATTCGTTATATTCACAAGAGTACAGGAGTCGGTTTTGTACTGAAAACCGAGATCATCATAAGTCTGTGTACAATGTGTTCGAAAAGCCCCCCGTACTATCATAAATTCAGCTATTTATAGTACGGTGGTTTTTGTCTTCTTGCTTGAAATGGATAAAGACGCATTTAATGTTGAGCTGCTTTACTTGAAGCGGTGGGAAACATCAATGATTGCCTTTTTGTTTTGTTGGTCCAATCAGATGCTTCTAATGATTACTTTCTGTTGGAATATTCAGACTTTGTAGTAGTCGGTTGACGTAGAAGAACTTGATTTCGTCGTAATATTTGTTGAACTGAAGTCGGTTCACTTGCCTTGATTTCGGATGCCGGCTCTTTTTAAAGACCTTCGGAAGTCGGTAACTATGTAGAAGTCGGTAGTTATTCCTAATAAATACCGACTTGCAGTAAATTCATCTCCTTGAGGGATTATTTCTTCAATAATGTGATTAATCTCCGTCTTTAACTTCTGTCATCGGGTCGGATATCAACAGTGAGGCCCCCGACATCAGTAGGTATTTGAAGCTTTTTGAATAGTTGCTGATGTCGTATGTTGTTCTGCTTTATTTCGACTTGTTTTGCTTTATCTACCGACATGAAAACACTTTGCTTTATTTGACATTTCTTGTATGGCACTTGGTCTGACATGGCGGCTCTCAAAAGATGTGTCCGCATTTAATGGGCCCAACGGATATAAATTTATAACGACATGGCGTTTCAGGACGTGGCCACGTGTGCTAATAATTACTGTAACGTTATGTCGTTTTAAGACACGTCCGTTACACGCGCCGTTTACGGATGTTTCCAACGGTTATAAATCCATACCTATAAATTGAAGTCGGTTTCGATGTGCGAAAAATTTCTGTACCTTAAACTCCTTTGTTTTTTCTTGCGCTCGTTCAGTAATCTTTCCTTTGAATACTCTTCGTGCACTCGCTTTTTCTGTGATCTTTTCTTCAATTCAGGGCTCTCGGAAATTTCGGTAAGAATTTGCCCTAATCTTTCCCGTTTTCTTGTTCTATTTCGAGTTTTTCTTTATTTTTATCGATTTTGGAAGCAATAATGTCTGCGCATACTGAGAATAGTAGTAGCCGGACGATTTCTGATATTCCGATCTTCACCGATGAGGATTTGGAATTGCCTCTCGAGTATTACCGGTGGGATCCTCTTCTGGTAAAGCAATTGAATCTCAAGAAGGATATTATTGAGGAGGACAAACAAGTTGAGAAGGACGCTATGTCGCTTTCTGATTATTGGAGACGTCCTGCTCGCCGGTGGCCTGAACCAATTGATGAGTACAGGGGGGAACCGAGTATTCTTACAGACGCTGACATCGTCATCCTTCGGGAGGAGGTCTATATTCCCTCGTCGGTTAAATTATTCGCGCCTTACCCGGGCGAAAGGATCACTTGTCCGCCACCGGGTTGTGTAGGCGTGTTTGCCGACTCGTTAAGATCGGGACTTCGGTTTCCCCTCCCAGCTCTAATTACAGACTATTTAAGGAATTGGGGAATTGGTCTGTGTCAGATAGCACCGAATTCGTGGAAAAGAATTATCAGTCTTATGGTGCTATTAAAGGAGAAGGGTTGGAACATGCCAACCGTTGAGGAAATCAGAAATCTATATTCATTCAGGCGATGCGCTGATAGGCAAGTTGCAGATCCGTTGATTTGTTATGCCTGTGCGGGAAGGCCTCAAGAAGGATTGAAAATCGGTGATTTGATTACCGACATTCCTGAGTCGCTCCATGGATTTCAGGAAGAGTGGCTATGGGTCGGAGGAGATTGGCAGACTCCGAATTTTTCGAAACCTTTAATTGATGGGATGACAGTTCCCATCAATATTAATTCTGCGATTTGTAAGTTTTTTATTTTATTCCTTTCTACCGAGTTGTTCTGACCTTGCTTATTTTTTGTACTAACAGGTCTTGTTATTTGCAGCCAAAAGCAGGGGATCAAAACTCGGTTCAACTTTGAAAGAGAGGATTATCGAGTTGTTCAAGTTGAAGAAGGCTCAGCGCAGCTTTAAGTTGATTCTGAAGAACACAAGATTGAGAGCTGCTGGTCTTTGTCCCGAAATTTTTGATAGTTCATTCCAACCAGGTAAACTTGAGTAGAATTTTAGTCATCTTATTTGAAGTCGGTTATTTTCGACATCAGTTGTAATTCGGTTTTATATTTGCTTTGCAGTTTATTATCCGCTCATTGGGGTCCTTGGTTTCAAGACCATCCGAGACGCAAAAGCTTTCCGCCAGAAGAGTCCGAATCTAGAACTTCGAACCAAAGTCGGAAAGAGCAAAGAGTTGCGTTTGTCAGGAATGGGTCGAAAGAAGTTAGTAAAGGCGTACTTGGAGAACCCGATCATGAATCCTCCAAAAACCGATGTCGGTGATGGTGCGACATCGGTGGTTGCTATCGAGATAGCGCAGCCAGACCCTTTAGCTGTTGCTGCAGCAGGTCCCATGGCTGCTATTGCTGCTGCTGTTGCTAATACT